TTAGTGGGCAAAGGATTTGAAGACAGTTGTTTCCCATGTGAGTGCCCACAAAAGGATGACCTCGGCAGAGGAGGATTTTTTTTTGTTGTTGTTGTTTTGTCCTTTTTGAGACTGGCCATACCACGCTCAGCCAGTGAGCGCTGTGAGCGCACCGGTCATCCCTATAAAGGATCCGAACCCGCGGTGGGAGCGCTGCTGCACTCTCAGCGCCGCACTCTCCCGAGTGCACCACGGGCTCGGCCCGCAGAGGAGGATTTTAATAATCAACTGTATAGGATGACCCATTCTGTGGGAACTAGTCAGCCTCTTTCTCCAGCCACCCCATCATTGCCCAGTGGGCTTATGACCAAAGTGTCTGTGGCAACAGGGTGGAGGTTAAACATGGGCTCAGCAACATGGACTTCCACTCATCAAGGCCAACCTGGCTGTGGCAACTGCTGAGTGCCCTATCTACCAGCAGCAGAGATCAATACTGATGCCCTGATATGGCACCATTCCTGGGGGTGATCAGCCAGCTATCTGGTGGCAGGTTGATTACTTCGGACCACTTCCATCATGGAAGGGGCCGCATTTTGTTCTTACTGGAATAGACACTCTGTTATGGGTTTGCCATCTGGAATGAAATGCTTCTGACAAAACTACCATCCATGGACTCATTGAATGCCTTATTCACCATCCTGCTATTCCACACAGCATTGTTTTTGACCGAGGAACTCACTTCATAGCCAAAGAAGTGTGGCAATGGGCATATGCTCATAGAATTCACTGTTCTTACTGTGTTCCCCAATATCCTGAAGCAGCTGGTCTGATAGAACGGTAGAATGGCCTCTTGAAATCACAGTTAGAGCACCAACTAGGTAATGATACCCTGCAGGGCTGGAGTGAGGTTCTCCAGAAGGCTCTACATGCTCTAAATCAGTGTTCAATATATGGTACTGTTTTTCCCATAGCCAGGATTCAAGTGTCCAGGAACCAAGGGATGGAAACGGAAGTGGCACTACTCACCATTACCCCTAGTGACCCACTAGCAAAAATTTGGCTTCCTGTTCCTGTGATTTTATGCTGTGCTGGCCTAGAGATCTTGGTTGCAGAGGGAGGAATGCTACCAGGAGACACAACAATGATCCCATTGGGCTGGAAGTTAAGGCTGGCACATGACCACTTTGGGCTCTTTATGCTTCTGAGTCAACAGGCTAAGATGGGGGCTGTGGTGTTGGCTGTGGTGATTGATCCAGACTACCAAGAGGAAGTTGGACTTCTACTTCACAATGGAGGTAAGGAAGATTATGTCTGGAATACAGGAGATCCCTTTGGGCATTTCTTAGTACTACTATGCCCTGTGATTAAGGTCAGTGGGAAATTACTCAATCCAGGCAAGACTACAAATAGCCGAGACTCTTCAGGGATGAAGGTTTGGGTCACCCTGCTGGGTAAAGAAACAGCCGAGGTGCTCACTGAAGGCAAAGGGAGAACAGAATGTGAACTAGAAGGTAGTTATAAGTACCAGCTACGACCACCAGTTACAAACTGAAGACTGTAATTGTCCTCCCTATTTTATTAATAATATGTCTGTGTGGGTATGTACCACGTATATTAAGCAATTATCTTTTAGTTTCTCATATTCTTTACAGTGTAAGATAAGACTTATTGACTTTATATCAGTATTTAAATATTTTTAACTTTACCCCATAGTATTTGTATTTAAATAATGGGATATCAGGAGAAGAGTAAACATCACCAGAGGACTTTACCTCCTCTTCTGGGAAAGGGATTAACACATTTTCATTTGTACACAGAATAGTTACATCATGTTAGGCGGAACTATTACTTTGTTATTGTCTCATTTGGAGATTAAGTGTGGTTTAAGGAGATAAATGTGGGCAGCAAGTTGGCAAGGGGTAGATTTAAGATGGTTTATCTCAGGTGTCAACTTGACTAGATTAAAGAATACCTAGAAACATGATGAAACATTATTTTTCAGTGTGTCTGTGAGGGTGTTTCCAGAAGAAATTAGCATGTAAGTCTGAGTGAACAGGATGGGAAAGATCCGCCTTCAATGTGGGTAGGCACCATCCAATCTGCTGGGAGCTTGAAGAGAACAAAAACAGAGGGAAAGGCTAATCACTCCCTCCATCTGCTGGAGCTGGGATACACTCTGCTCTCCTGTTCATGGACATTAGAACTCGAGACTCTCTAAGCTTTGGGTTCCGAGACTTATACCAGTGGCACCTCTGGGCTCTCAGGCCTTTGGCCTCACACTGAGAATCACAACATTGGCTTCCCCGGTTCTGAGGCTTCTGGACTTGGACTGAGCCATACTACCAGCATCCAGTTTTCAGACGGCCTCTCGTGGGACTCCTCAGCCTTCACAATTGTGTGAGCCAATTTCCCTAATAAATCCCCTCTCATATATTTATAAGCATATCTTATTGGTTCTGTCTCTCTGGAGAATGCTAATTCAGCCCCCACCTTTTTGAGGACAACTGCCTTACTTTATATGAAGACCTGCAATGCCTCAGAAGATTTTCTCTCAGCTTATATCCCTGCTCTCAGGCTTTGATGTACTGTCCGTGAGCATATGGTACAGCCCTATAGAAAGCTGGCAGATGGAGAAAGACTTACTCTGTGGCTAGAGTTTCTCAGAATTCTAATCCATCTTCTCACACATCCATAAAAAGTGTATTACATTTTCTGTTTTCTCCTTACTTTTCTTTATGGGTCTTTCTGTTTTGCTGCTTTTTCATAATTGAAAGTATGTAGGAAAGAAAATTTCCTGTCTCCTGTGAATAGCTTGTCACTTGCTGGAGTTTAATTCATTTAGATTCTTTGCATTATCAGTAATCTCATGAGTTAAAACAAAAACAAAGACCAAAAAATCCAAAAAACAAAAAAAACCTGATTTTGTACTTTAGGCAGTTTTGGTTGTTTGAGTGAGAACAGTGGTCATTCTTGTGGCTTTATCCACACTAACCAAAAGGAGAAGAGCATTCCTTAATTTTTAAGAGTAAGATTATCAAAACTCAGCAAGACCTCTGTGTACGTGAAAGACTTAGCTTCTAGTTTTGCTCTGGAACTGGGTAAATCCTAAATACAAAGCTATGAATATTTTTTCTCTAAGGAGCAATACACACGTCAGCCTTCTTGTTCTTCCCAGAGATTTTATCCGTATTATTTTGAGAAGATACGCCTATTTTTTATGCTCTGTTGGAGGTTAACTCTTGGATGCCAGGCATTCTGTTTGCAGGACTTGGGGAAGGGATTAGTAGAAGAGTAAACTGTTCCATATATATAGATGTTATATTAGTTTTCTGTTGCTTATAACTGGATATGTTATAACTGGATATGACTGAAATGGGGTAATTTATAAAGAAATGGAATTTATTTCTTATAGTTTTGGAGTCAGGGAAGTCCACAGTCCAGGGGGCACAGATCAGCTGAGGGATTTTTTGGTAGTGATTCTTTACAGTGATGCAGGATGGGTGTCACATGGTGAGGATGGCCCAAGCAAGAGATCTAACAATTTCACTTGCTCTCCTTATAAAGCCTTCAGAACCATGCACATGATAACTCATGACTACATGAACAGATTAATCCGTTCATGAGGCCACAGTCCTCATGATCCAATTACCTCTCAAAGGACTCACCTTTAATATACCATAATTGGATTTCTTGACACTGTTACAATGGAGATCAAGTTTCCAACACATAAATGTCTGGGGGACACATTTGATCCATAGCAGATGTTCAATAAATCACCCTGTTTTCAACCTCACGTCTCACTTCTATTCTCCATTGTACTTGATTTTTTGAGAATTTTGCATGGCAAATTGTGATATCTTCCTTGATGGATTGATATCATTCATGCATATTTTGGCTCCTGCTTCCTCAGCCCTGCTTCATTATTATTATAAAGCTTATTGACTTGCTTTATGTCTTCTAGATGTTTGTTGAAAGCTCTCAGGTGTCTTGCACTAGATGATTATATCAGGATATTTGCTAAATAACTACAGAGTTAGAACTGAATCCTAAGTGATCTGATTCCTGGTCCAACTCACCTTTCATTAACCTTATTACTATCTTATTTTATTCCTCCTTTTTGATTTCTATTTTCAGGTTTTGCTGAAGAATTATCCAAGGTGATACACTGCAAAAATGATTCAGCTGACAGCTACCCCTGTAAGTGCACTTGTTGATGAGCCAGTGCATATCCAAGTTACAGGCCTGACTCCCTTTCAGATGGTCACTCTTCAGGCATCACTGGAAGATGAAATAGGAAGATTCTATTATTCTCGAGCATACTATAGGGCCAATGAAGCTGGTGAGGTGGACCTGGAGCATGCTGCTTCACTTGGAGGTGACTATGTGGGAGTCCATCCCATGGGTCTCTTTTGGTCCCTTAAACCTGAAAAGTTATTAAGTAGACTTATGAAAAGAGATGTGACTAGACCCTTCCAAGTCCAATTAAAAGTTTATGACCTAGATGGTCTACTAGACAATAAACCTGCCAGTGCTCCAAAGGCCAGTCTGACTTTGGAGAGGTGGTATGTGGCACCTGATGTCACACGGATCCAGGTCCGAGAAGGCCGCCTTCGGGGAGCCCTTTTTCTCCCTCCAGGTGAGTAGAATTACTCTGATTATTGTCATCCTTTTTTTCCCTCTTGAATGCCTTATCCCTCTAGAAATTTTGCTTGGATATGGATAATACATAGAGCACTCCTTTTCTGCCTTAGAATCAGGGTCTTTGGGTCAAAACAAGAATGTGGAAATATTCCACTCCAACTCAAATTTGATCTCAACAATTCTGGAGTTTGTCTAAAGACATGACTGCATATAGTCTATGGAGTCCCCGCATTTTGGGATTTCCAGAACTTTGGATTTATGTTATATTTATCTGCATTGAAACCTGGCTATCTGAAGACACTCATCTCAATATCATGGCAACTATGTCCCAGCTCCTTTTGGGGGCTTTGTCAAGTTGAGTTTCAGTTTAGGCATAGGTTATTTCATGGTTACCACAACAAGCTTGTGATATGATGAACTGAAAGATTGCAGCAAATGTATATGATGCAAAGAAACTTGATACACTGTAGTTCCACAAATAATGCATATTTATAGAATATTCCATAAATCAGGTAATACATCATGCTCCCTAATGGCTATAAAACTTACTAGAACACTCATAGTTTGCTGCAGTTATCTCCACCTACTGATAAGGGGTTTAAGACATCTGTTGGTACATTTCTCAGAGTTTATTGTGAAACTGAATGAAGCAAAGTTAATTTCCTAGAAGATCTCAGCAGCCCACGGTTTCAAGTTTGTCTGAAGTCCCCTTCTTCAGACATGTGTTTTCATCTGGGACATAGCTATCACCTCATCAAGATGTATTGCCTTTATTATTTTTTTATTTAATAGTGCACTGCTGGAAATGAGATAAGTTGAGGAATGCTGAAGTGTTAGGGGTGGTTTCTGACAACATAGAGTTATAGATTAGAAGGAATAAAAGTTTCCCTTTCCGAATTCACCATGACCCATGCACTTGTTCAGACAAATTTGAATTTTTTTATACCAGTAATTAGCATATAGACCACTTTATCATGTGTAGGGACTAGGAACAAAGTGGTATAAACTGCTGTGCCTCTGTTATCCTACCCTGGTTAAAAATCTGTATATTGGTGCAGGCCTTCCACTTTGGAAGGATGTGCTGGTTTACGGTGTGCTGTTTGGGAATCCTCTTGGTCACTGTATGAACTGGGTCTCCCATTTTAGGTGTGTGTTCTGTGGGGGTACAAAAGAGGGCTGAGTTGTGTGGGGTCATAAAGAGGTTGAGTCAGGTCTTAAAACATTTCTTAACTGCAAAATTCTTCCAAGATAAGGGACTCCCTTCTCTTAAATGTTCCCCCATTCCTGTCAATCAGAAGATGCAAAAGCATCTTTATTCATTTATTCAAATGATATTTTTAAGCCAAAGTATATTCAGCAGTATTTTATTTTTTTCTTTTCTCAAGGTAAAGTAATTATAGCAGTTTTTAAAAAATTCCTAGTAGTTTAAATCAAGCCGCTCCTTTCAGACATGGGTGGGACTAACCTTCCTTGGCTAAAATTACTTATACAAAAATAGAATATCCCAATAGTACATTGTAAATTTCTCCCCAATAGTACATTGTAAATTTCTTTCAGTGTATGGGCTTTGCCTTTTTTTGGAAACAAGCTGCCTACATAGAGAGGGAGTATAGAATGATACTCTATCCCTTCTTTTTACCATGTGTTACGCTGCAGGGAGTGAACAGGGTTACTGAATGAAAGGGCGCATCATTTATGTCTGCTTAAGTGTGAGATTTCATCACTTTATAGTCAGATGAGTGTAGCCGAGCAGTATTAAGTCAGGATTTTAGCTAACATAATAATTTTTTTAAAAATTACATCCATATACTTCTTTGAGAACCCAGTTAAATCTGTGGACCCTCTTGTATTTGTTTTATGTTGCTATAGCGGATTAACTGAGATTTGGTAATCTATAAAGAAAAGAGATTTGTTTGGCTCACAATTCTGGTGGCAGAGAAGGTCCAAGATTGGGTAGTTGCATCTGGGAAGGGCATCAGGAAGGGGAGGATGCGTGTGCAGAGATCACTGGGTAAGAGAGGAAGCAAGAGAGGAAGCCAGGCACTTTTTGACAACTGGCTGTCACGGGAACTAATCCATTCCTGCTTGAAAGAGAACTCACTCACCCGCCAAAGGAGAGCATTAGTCTATTCACAAGGGATCCACCCCCATGACCCAAACACCTCCCAGCCGGTGCCACCTCCTAACACTGCCACATTGGGGATCAAATTTCAACATGAGTTTTGGCGAGGACAATCTATTCACAAGGGATCCACCCCCATGACCCAAACACCTCCCAGCCAGTGCCACCTCCTAACACTGCCACATTGGGGATCAAATTTCAACATGAGTTTTGGCGAGGACAAACTATATCCAAACCATAGCACCTCTCATCAGTAAAATGCACATGTAAACATATATACTATATTTTGCATCTTATTTCAAGATTTTCATAGATACTCTGAAGCTATTTGTGTGCCTCTTCATAGGTTAAGAAGCCCTGGCCTAATTTCTTTTTTTTTTTTTTCTGCTAAATTTTTATTTTGTCAGTATACAATGTATATGATTATTATGGCCCATCACCGACACCTC